TTCTCTCAGTGACAGGTTACACTTCAGTTATTTGAAGAGATTCTCATTGTGAAATACTTGACTCAGCATTTGATGCAACAGAGGCAGCAGATCTTGTCAGTAGGAAGGAGGGGAACAGAAATGAGCTGCTGTGGCAGGCTTGGGTAAGAAACCTCCCATCAACAAAGGTCCACCACTGAATAGCAGCTGTGTCAGTAGTTTTGCAGATGTTCCTCTTCCAACAGATACTTTCTGCATTTTCTCTGAAACTTTCACCTTCTTGCATGTATTAAATGTCATATCAGCTATTTCTGGAGGTGTTATAATCTCTACACGAGTGGGGTCACAAGGAGGGTAGTAGGGAAATGATGCACTGATTTATTGGTGGGATCAATTAACCACCTTATTTTTTATTACAACTCCAACAAATATAACAGCATGTTAATACAAAAAAAAACCCACACAAAAAAACCAACCTCAAATCAGGCTTGAACCTCTTCCTCTCACTGCCGTGCCCTTGATAAATATGCCTAGATTCAATAGTCCTTCCATGAATTTTCAAACTGACAAGGGCATGAAGAAGTTCTTCCCAGCTATTGAACTGTAAAGTGTTGCATATGGCACCTGGAGGAGTTGGAATGGGTTTGTACAAGTAATTCAGTGTATTCATCACACTTTCTCTAATGCATGAAGTGGTTCACATTGAAGCTGAGAAAGATGATTCATATTGCTTTCTTCTCTCCCCCCTGTCAGTAGCAGCAGTAGCCCTCAGAGCAACATTTGAAACAGTAAATGCCTGGCCCACAGCCACGTGTTACTACTTTGCTGGGCCTTCTGATGGTACTGTAATCAGATGAGGGACAAGATAGGAACTGTTCTTTTCCATGGGGAAAATCAGACTGGGGTATTTAATAAAAAAAAAAAATTTAATTACATATTTAAGTTGGCCAGCAAATATTTTTCAGTCCTATGGCCTATGCTGTCAGGAAACACCCCTTTTTTTTTTACCTCCCATCTAAGTTATCTTATATGATTTGTGAGACTTTATGCTCTATTCTGAATTTTCATGTGAATATTAGCACCCCCAGGATATGCTCCCCACCCAGAACATGGACTTTTTGAGTTCCCTTAGCATCAAAGTGGTTACACTAGGGGAGGGGTATCCTGTGATACTGTGCTCCTATCAGTTGTTAATATTTGTGTTAATATTGTTACTGTCATATGAATAGGCTTGGGTTTTATGGTGGCTGCATCCCTTTAAAATGTGAGGATGTGGAGTACAGGTGTGTCTGAAGGGGGTGTTGGAGGTAAAACAATCTGTTTGCAATTACGAGACTCAAAATGGCAGTAAACCTTTTTATTTCCCCTGATTTGATTTAGGTTCTCCTTTAGCTTGGCTCTGAACTATATTCCTGTCATGCTGCTGTTCTGGCTACCTCCGGGCATTTGTCAGAGACTGGCTAATTGAAGCACACACTCCGGCTTGGATCGAAATTGCTGTTTTGATTAAAATTGTAGACGCTACTGCTGCTTCCTTGTGGAGTTCTTTCCGTGAAGTACTAGGACTTTGGTTTGTAGTTTTTGGTTCTCCAAGGTTTTTAGGAAAGCACGAAGGCTCTGAATATAGCAAAAAGTGGAAGGTTAGGGCAAAGGCAGCATCAGGGAACAATCTTATCACAGAATCATGGAATATTCTGAGTTGGAAGGGACCCACAAAGATCACTGAAGTTCTCAACAGTTGTGGAAAAACTGCAGCCCACTTCCAAACCAGTTGCATAATCCCATGAAGGCAGTGAAATTCTTGGTCATCTTAGGCCCTATCCTTCGGATACTTCCACACAGTTTTTATATATTCACACCATAGATCTAAGTGCCTGACAGTTCCTAAAATGCAAGTTTTGTGTTTCTGTTATGTCTCTTCTTTTGCATACCTTGGCACCCCTACGACGTTCACATTCAAGGGTGTTTTTCCTTTCAACAGGTGTATTTTGCTGTGATATTAATATCTTAATTTCCTAAGACATCTGTGAGACTTGCTGGTTTTGACTACCCTGTTTGTCTCAACAGAGAGGAAGAAGGGTTTCTCTTCCTTTTCCCCCAGCCTTCTCAGGACAAGTCCATGCTGGCAGGGCCTCCAACTTCAGGCTAAGTTGTGGCCATGGGGGACTTTGCCAGATATGCAGGAGGCTCCGTGGCCCTTTGCATGGCAACTGTGGTGGGAATAGAAGATGGGAGGAAGGTGTGTTGGGAGCAGAGTTTGTCAGGCTTATAGCTGCTACTCCAGCAGCTTTTTTTCAGAGCAACAGTGACAGAGCTGATAACTTATTCCTCTCTATCTTTTATCATGTTTACACTGTCACCTGTAGTCATGGAGGCCTGGCTCCTATCTTCAGCCCTGGAGTCCATGGAGATGAATACAGCCTTGGAGTACACAAGAGGGTTTGATTGTTGGTGGATTTTTACCAGGAAGCTGTTGCTGTCTTTGTGGCTTCTGGTGTGATACATTCTATCCAGATACCTTTGACAATTTCAGTCTTTTCCTCTGTAAAATGGGAGATGTGTTTGTTCAGATGAGGTTTTGGTGATAAAGGCTTCATATTAAAGTGTCGTCCGAGAGAGGGCAGATGATCTTCTGCCGTCTAGGCAAAAACAGTTAACAAGTAATGGCTGTGGGAAGCACCAGGGTGAGGCCATGAGCCATACCCAGGGATCTCACAGGCAATGTCTTACCCTTGGTTTCTCATGTCAGTCTAGGTGAACATCATTTACTTACCAAGCTGCTCTTAGGAGCATGAATTATCTCAGACTCCTTTATAGACACATTGGCACTAATTACATTTGCAGGTCTGCAGTTGGCAAAGCTGTAGGAGAGGGAATTGGTTTATCTCTGTCACCCTGCTGACCTGTCATTACTGATGACAAAATGGGAACTTGAAAGAGCTCGAGTGACACCTGGCTTGAGTCAGAACAGCTACTGAAGCCATCTCCTGCCTTGGGAACAAGCAGGTGACTCTCCCACGCCATTCCTCTGCACACACATTGCATACAGTGGCAGGAGCAGCCTGGTATGTCCCTGCAGTGCTGCTAGGTAGTTCCTAGCGGGGATGGAGGGGTTATTGGAGTGAATAGTTTAGTATATGACAAAATCACATAGCAAGCAAGCATATAGTTTATATGTAGAAAATATGCACATATCTGTGGAGGAGAATAAATATCTGTAAATTTCAGGTTGATGCTGAGATGTAACCTGTGTGTGTGTGTGTGTGTGCAAAACATGTTTGATCATACTTATGCCTTTGCAAACCTAAGATTTTTGTAAAACTTGTGCCCTACATCTCTTAAGCCTGGAAGAATATTATGCTTAACACAGTTGAGCAAAGTGACATTTGGCCATTGAGATACTCTTCCAAAAATACCTTTTTCCCTGTCAAAGTATATTCTTGCTTAGGAATTTTCAATATTTCACTGAAGTCCTGGGCCTTTTGACATGAGTTTTAATGTTAGGTTTTGCAGAATCAAAATGTCATCCTCTGTGTGTGGAGTCTCAGTCTTGGTGTCCAGATACCAATTGGTTCCTTTGTCTCCTTTTGTACTTATCAGTACAAAGACTTTTTTGTTAGTTCAAGCATGAAATTTTTTTGTGCTCTCAAACTGAGATGCACTTTTGGTTCAAAAGCACTGCAGGAAGAACAATTTCTTATAGAGTGTCCTTCTGGGACTATAAATAATAAATGCTGTGACTCAGAGTGACGCAGGCAACATACATGTGCAAGGCAAAGATTCAGTAAATAATGATTTACCTGCACTTTGTCAGCTCTAAACCAAGAGGGATCTATTCAGACTTCTTTGCTAGCTTGATGAGTTTTGTTTGTGCTGTACTGCCTTTTAGGAGTTCTAAAACATGAACTCTATTTCTTTTGTGGTGCTGTTTCTGAAGGCCCTTTATGAGAGGTATAAATATTTATCAAACCCTTAGTTCTGACCTAAGACCTCCTATTCAAACCTCACTGACTTGCAGTAGGTGCTGACTGTGAAGAGCTTGGAACTGCCACACTTAGTGCCTTATGGTGCAGTAGTAATGGACAGTTATTATTTCAGAGTCGTTGGAATTATTTGATTATGCTGTGTTCCACTTTAATGATGTAGTTTTGTACTTTGTGGTGTCGCAGATTGACAACAGGACCCTCTTCAGGACTGGGATTAAATTATCCAACTCTATGTGATGTGATAAATTGTACCTGTGAAATCTATGCATATAACTCATTCCATTGGTAGGGAAGAAGCGTATTCATAGATAGAGGACCAGGCTCTATATGTTGTCCTTTCTTCCCCACTAAAATACACACCAGACATGGTGTGTCCTGGTTATCAAGAGTCCCATGGACACAGCTGAAAGTCTGTAGAGTCAGTGGAAAGGCTTCTGTTAGCAGCAGTGGTAGGTCATGCAGTGGAGCTTTCTGAAGTGCAGAAAACACAAAGTCAAGATGCGTTTTCTCAAGTGAAGTCAGCTACAAATCTAACTCCACTCCTTGACTTTCAAAATTCAGAGGAAAAACATCAGACTTGTTCCACATGAGGCAGCACCTTTGTATTCAGAGGGGCCAGGGGCCAGTGAGATGGTCTAAAAAGAGAAGTGTATCTCTGGATATCCTAACAGGACAGGGTGGAGACACTGGGCAGGTTCTCTTCTATTTGCTCTTTTTTTTATTATTTATTTCCCCCAGACAGCTGTGACTGACCAGTGTCCCTTTGAGATCCTCTCAGGACAGGCATAGGGTCATGCTGTAGTTCAAAGTCCACCTTAAGTGGGTGGAAAGAGGTGTTAGAGAACTTTTCCTCTTTTTTTTCATCCTTCTTATTTCACCTGTTAGGTTTCACTTTAAGGGAAAAATCCTCACAGATAGTCAACAAGATGTGTCCTGCAAATACACAGTCAACACATTTACAGAAAGCCTTGTATGTTTGCTTGTGATCTGTTTGCAAGTATATCCCTGAGGCTGGAATTTCCCTTCTATGTTCAGTGATGTGACTTCCTGCCATGAAGCCTTTGGTGAATGCTGTGGGCAAAGCCGGGTTATCATCCACATGTAGATCCTGCTGTGGGATTACGACTGGAAATGTTCCCGGTGAGTACTGTCTGATTTGCTGTCTTCAAGAAGCTGCTCAGTCCCCACAGGTTCAAGCTCTGCTGAGAAGATTGGTGTAAGACACATTCACCTTCATGACCTTCAGCTTGTGTGCAGTAAGAGACTTTCATAAGCTTCAGGATCATTTCTGTGCCTTCGTATTTAAGAATTACTTGTTTCCACCGAAAAAGATAACTTTATTTTGAAAATACTGTTCCCTGGATCTCTGAAGGAGGGCAGTCACAGCCAGGTTCAATACCAAGCCGTTTGCTGACCGTCACAGCTGGGAAATTGCTTCCCTGGTGCCAAGGGAATTGCTAGAAAGCATGACAAAAGGCTTTCACGTCCTCTAGCAAGGGGCTGTTTTTTTCCCCTTTCTCTCCTATTGTTTTCTTCTTTCGTGTGATGTGTTTGGAGTAACAGTAGCATTAATGATACTCAAAAGCAGGATTTCTAAAATGCATGTGTGTGTGCGCGTGTCCCCTCCCCAAACCAGTTTGCCGCCTGTCTCCCAAGACATGCTCAGCTCCGTGAAGCAGCACGGCGGTGTTTGTTTCAGTGTGGCTGCCCGTTGGGGATTTGCAGGAATACTGCAGCAAATCATCCTGCATGCAAGGCTGACCTCTGGGAGGCTAACAAATTGAGGTGAGCCAGCTGGAGCGATAGGACACTGCCGGCGGACAGAGCATGCTCAGACCTGGGGGAGAAAGGTAGCTCAGGCTGCAGATGGTGCACGGGTTACGGTGCCGAGAGCCGATAGAAAGGATTTTTCCTTTTTCTTTGTGGTGGTGAGGAGAGAAGAGGACTGGAGAGTGTTCGTTCCCCTGCAAAGCATAGCCTTAAGGTGTCTTCTTTTTTCTTTCTCCTGTGAAAGAGAGGCACTGGATAGCCTTTCCTGTTATTTAGCAACACCAGGTATGCGTGCATGTGCTCGAAACACTGATCTACCAGTGATAGTAGTTCCAAGATTAGAGAGGTTGCAGATGCTCTGAATTACTGCATTTCTTTGCTGGGTATCATTGTAACTGTGCTCTGTTTGCTGTGCTGATCACATACGGCTCTGAATTCAGTTTTGCTGGCAGTCCTGGCTGCAGTGTACTTCGGGAGGGGGGGAGGTTAGCATGGTTTTGATGATATCTCCTTGCTCCCCCCTCCCCGCAACTTCACACTGAGTCTCTCCTCTGTGCCTGTGCACATGTGGGAAGGGAGGCAGTAGTTCATTTGTAATCCCAGGTCTTTGTAGTCCCTCTTTGTTTGACTAGTGGTTTGCTGTATCGTTTTTAAACAGAAGTCTCATGGGGAAAACATCTGTGAGCTGGACCAAATTCTGTAGGTTTTCAGAAATGTGTTTTTTATTGGACAGGTGCTGCTATGGGATTACTTTTTTTTTTTTACCGTCCCCTAAAAGCATGTTAATGTAGAGCTTGTGGTAACCAAGGAGGGATTTTCAATGTTCTTATTGGCTGTGCTGTGCTCCCAACAATTTTGGCTCCTGTTTAGAATTTGCAGCACACAGGAGCAGTCTTGGGCACCATGCTGATGGGAAGCAGGGAGAGCTCAGGCTGTAAATGCTTCTAAGCACCAGTCCCAGTATCAAAATAACACAGGTACTCTACCCGCTGGAGAATAGAGAAAGAAAGGATAGATAAAATACAGAGAAAAACAAATGGCAGCTAGAGCACAGAGGCACAGTTGGAGTGGCTGAAGCTCATCTTGTTCAGTACTTTGGGATTCCACGTCATATTCTTTTAAACTCACTTTTGCAGCATTGGTAAATTTTCCCTTCTGCCACCCTCACTCCGTCTTTACTTCAGGCAGACCACTGAAGTAAGATAAAGCTGCTGCTCTCTGACACCTCTTTTTCTGACAAAGGTATCTTGCTTACAGACTAAAAGCGAGAGACCAGGCAAAACGAGAGATTTTTTACTCTTATGACAGAGCTGTTAATGCCAGTATAACCTGATCGGTTTCAATGGGATTCTCGGGTGAACAAAGATCAGCTGGAATGAACTCTGTCTGTTAAGCTTTCCCCTCTGTCTAGCCGTGGTTATTTGGAGTAACTCAGGTTTTCATCTTTAGGCTTGGGACTGCCAGAACGTGGAGAAGACTTGAGGGCTGAGAGAAGTACCTTTTTTATTTTTAAAAATTTTTTAAATGTTTTTTAGCTCATTTTTCTTACATCTCTTGCCTCAGGCTTGTTTATCAGAAATACGTCTTATCTAGGGGAATTTTCTGGAGATTAGGTTAGTTTTTTGTGAGGGGAGGTTTTCATTATGGGTGGAGGAGAGAACTTGGAAATGTGGACCTCAAAAGCCCCAAAAATATTCTTTTTAGATTTATACTTTTAGCTCAGTTTTGTGGCTTACTTCTGTGCTTTGACTGCTTAGTGCTGGAATTTTTTTTAACCTGTTATTTTGTAGATCAAGCCAGCAGTATCAACAAATATTAAATCAATGGTCGCTGGTCAAAAAGAAAATCAGGTTGGACCTCCTTCTGTCCCAGCTTCACAGACTCTGAATTTAATGGAAGAAAGCTTAGATTTTCTATCCATAAGTGCAGCCTGTAGGTGTCCTGTAGCGACCAGCATTCTCCTGTTCCTATTGAAGGTACATTTGCAGTAGGGACCATTGCACAGAGCCTCAATCGCCTTGGTTGTAGTCTCGTTTAGAAAGATTTACGGTTTTGCTTTCTATTCCTCACTTAGGCTAAACCATAAAAACTGGAGATAGACCTAATTTTTATCACAACTGTCTATAGATAAGGTTTTTGTAAGACTTTTTTTAATATATTGTAATATTTGATTTTTTTTTTCTGAATAAGGCTCTATTTTTTAAATTCTGTTTGAGACTACATAGTTAAGATATTTTTTGTATCTCCTCTTTGTATCAGGCTTCATTAATGATATTTTTATCTTTAACTGCTGGGTTTGCTCCCTTCAGGAATCTGCTCCTTTCCTGTTTAAAAAGTCAGCACTTCTACACTTGACTGCTTTTTACAAAGAAAATGTTCCAGTATATCAATCATTCAGTGTACCATCCTTTCTTTAATGTGCTATGTACTGTGAAAGATATATGTATCTCATTAAATAAATACAGTGAATAAGATGGTAACAGCTTTTGGGGCTGTGGGGATTGACTTGCTTGTAGTTCTGTGGGAATCTGTGACAGAGATGAGAATAAAAGCGAATTCTTGGCTGCCGAATCCTAACTCCCCCTCCTTCCAGTTGGGAAAGTTGCCTTCTAGCAACTTCAGTTTTGAGTATGAATGAAGTAGGTATTTAAAACTGCATGTGTTATATACATTGCATCCTTAGCTAAGCCTCTTGCATCAGGGATGGGAGAAAGAACAGAAGACATTTTGCAGGGGAAGTGTGAAATGCCATGTTTGCACGCTTTTCTTTTCCTGTACTGGTCCTGGAAAGCCAGTCTAGCTAGAGATGGAGGTAGGGAGCGCTGGTGGGGAAAATATCCTTGAGGAGGGAATATCTCCTCCCACCCCTCCCACTGTGTTACCATAACAAGAAGAAGTCAGGACTCCCTGTGCATTTCCTGCCCATGTGGCTCTGGCTCAACTCCTTCCCTGTCCTGTGGCAAAGGCATAACTCTTCCAGTTATGCTGCATCTCTGGGAACTGTGGAGATGGTTTGGACACCATGGCCACAACTGGCAGGCTGTGCCTGGGAGCTGGTCAGCTGGGCCAAACCCAAGAGGAGGCATTTCTCTGCACAGAGTGGTGACGCTCTCTGGAAGTATGTATCCTTCATGGGGTTTCTTTTCCATTTTGTGAAGCTTTTTAGCCTGCAGTATCTCTGGAAAACTGAACATTGCCTTGAAAATGCTTGGGCATTGTTAACAAAAGCTTATCAAAACATGAATAGACAAAACCAGCACTTTTCATTCTGTTAATACCTGCAGGACTAGGTGATCCTTCTTTAGGTACACTGTTCACCCTGGTCACCCTTGGCTTTTTCCTTTGGGGCTTTTATTAATGTATGTTTATGTCTTTTTTTGTGGCTGTTTTTTATTTTGCAGGCTTTGTGGCTTTTCTCCCTATTTCTTATCTAGATTGTGATTTTTAAAATGGAGAAGAGATTTGGAACGTTGTCCATCATATTAATAGCTTCAGTGATTCATCCTACTGTAGCTTCACAATTAAAAAAAGAACAACAGACCTCATCTCTTAAATGAATCCAAACAGTCCTTTATGCCAACTGCCTATTAGTAGAAATTCCCCTCTCATCCCACCCACTCTGATCTCCTAGACATGGTAACGAGAGATGAAGAGCCATGTCTCCATCTCTGTTTCCTGTTACTTTCCCACTTCCTGAGGATGTTTAAAACATCAGATGACCAGTAGGTAACAGGCAGAAGGTGCTACTGTGTCCAGACTTGTATGAGAGTACCACGGACCGGCAAGATGCTGGAGGTCTGTGCCAGAAGTGCCTGCTGAACACACCAGATGCATGTTCCTGAAGGCTTTATGTGCTCACCAGCAGTCAGTGCTAGTTAGAGAGGCGGTAGCTGGGCTGAGAGGATGAAACTGTGATACTTTTGCTGAGTGAGTGGAGGTGGAGGAAGAGAATGGGGTAAACTCCTCATGCCTGTGAGCTCTTTTGGAAAAGAGTAAAGATGAGCTGACCAAAATAGAGTCCCTCCCACAGGCTCTTAGCCTCTGGAGCGGCATCATCGTGGCTACAGAGGGTAGCAGTGTGTCCAGCATGCCACTTCTGCAAGTGCTTTCCAGTTCTTAAGATGTTCTCCAATGACACCGTGGGAGGGGAGTGACAGGTGTCTAGACCCATTTTGTCAGGGAGATTTAGTAATGAAAGTTTCTTTTATCATGAAGCAGCTCTCTTTAGGTGGAAGACTAAATACTTTTACCTATTCTGGAGTTACCTGCTGCCTCCTGGGAAAGTTTCCCATCCCAGGACTGCTGCTGCTCACAGTGCCTAACAGCTGATCTCAGCTTGGGGGACAGAGGAACCTGGGGACATGGAGAATGATTGCTTGCCTTTACCCCCTTGGTGCAGCTTCTCCTGGGTATGTAAAAGCAAACAGTGGGATTGTTTGTTACTATTTATGTTCTGTCATTCCCTGAAGGACCAAAAATTTTAGTTCTCGAAGGTCTGTTTTTACTGAAAGTGTCAGATTGAAAAAAAGGTGGTTGATAAAATGTGGGAAAACAGGCAAAGAATTAAGACAGTTCCCTGAGTACCTGTGAAATTCTCCTCTCATTTCTGCCTGCGACAACCCCTTCCTGTCCACATCCCCTTGCTTACTTTCATCAAAAGCAGCTTTCAGCCAAGCAGCATGAACCAGGATTTAGGAACTGGCAATGAGGAACAGAAATGAAGATGGATTACTTCAGCATTGCTAGCATTTAACAACTATCCCTGACACCTGGTTGGCTAAAGCACATGCACTCACTTCAGCTAAGTGCAGGGAAGTGAAAGAGCTGCAGTGAGGAAAGAGGTGGAACAGGGCCTTGCAGATGATTTTTGTTAAAAAGCTGAGTTGTTCATTCTTAGCCATTTAGTGGGTATGGCTGTAGCAGATTCTGAAATGAAAATTGCTAACCTCTGAACATTGGCCACATCCATCAGGCTGCATCTCTGAAGTGCCTCTTATGCCCTTCCCTTGGGGCTGGAGAGGAGAGAACAAATCAGTCAGGGGTGAAACATTAGAAGATGATGTTTTCAAGAAGGCCTGTTTGGCTCAACGGGTTTGTAATGGTCGGCAGAGCTCCCCACCACCAAAATGCCTGTGAAATATAGGTGGTATCAGTGGTGGTTTTATGGACTGCGGGCTTCTGATGCCTTTGAAACACCCACACATACACACTCATCTCACCATAATGGAATAATAAAAGAGGCCATGTGGTTTTCCCCCCTCTGCCAAGTTCTTGCAACTTGCATTGACTCCATTGAACTTGTAGTGCTTTGTTCTTCTGACCCTCAGTATTAACTTTAACAATGCCCACAGACTGGCCTTCATTTGAAGTGTGTGCTTGCAGCAGAGGACTTGCTTGTTAAAGGTGTCCTTCATTTACTGACTAGCAGGCTTTGCATGTGGCTGCTGGGGCTCGGTCCTTTCCTCGATGATGCTGCTGAAGTCATTTAAAGCTGTGCACACAAGATGAGAGGTTTGTAGTGGAGAGGTTATGTAGAGAGATGGATGATATCGTTAGACATCTTTCAAAGACAGTGAAGAAGTAAAATGAAGCATTGAAAGTCTGATACCAACAAAATAACTTAAGATCTGTCTCCATCAATTTTTATTTTTTTTTCTGAAAACTGGTTTGATGGCATTAGCAGAGCCTGAGTGATGTACCTCTGTCCCAAGTGAGTTTCCATTCAAGGCTGTCCATGGAACAATTGTGGTTGAGCTGCAAAGCCATCAGGAGCAGTAGTTGACAGAGAAGGACAGAGAAGACATCATTTGTCTCTGCAGGATGTCTTTGGTCCCTGGGACAAGACCAGATTTAAATTGCTGTAATTGAAACAAAGGCTAAGTGTTAGGAAAGGGTTTATGACAGTCCTTCCATGCCTCTATCGAGACTGGCTGAAGAGATGAATGAGTACTAAGAATGAGATAGAGAAGCATCTTTGGGGAGAGGTTTATGGAGAACTGATCCTGCCTTGGTAATTAGATGTCCGCTGTGGGTCCCTTCCCATTTTCTTTTCTGTGGTTGAAATCAAAACAACACCATTTTTAATTTGCTGCTTGCTTTTAGGGAGGCAGTTTTTCAGACTACTTGCCAGAGGAGGTAGACTTCATTTCTGTTTCATTTGAGTAGCTAGAGCTGCTCTGAAATTGAAATGAATTTGTTGCTCAGATCCCCAGAGACCACCTCTTGAATTTGCATGGCTTACAGCTAGCACTTGTTTCTTTGGCATTATTCAGACTCCCACATACCTTCAGTTCTTCATGTATCCGGCAGGCTGTTGGGATCTTAGAAGCTGTAGGAATCCCTTATGACTTCATTGAATTCCATAAATGATTCTCCATTCAATTCCAACTTGCAGGATCAAGCTTTTAGGCTGCAGCATCTCTTTTCTAAAGAACTCCCTTAGCAGGAGAGGTTTTGGTGTTTGCTTTGGTCCCAAATATGTCTGGCTGACTTCTTCCACTCTGCCATATAAGAAGCGTCTCTCAGTTAAAATGCTAAGGGATGCTTGGGATGTCAGAACGTGTGCTCAAGACATTGCTTCTTCCCCCTCCCTGCAAACTTACATCAAAGGAAGTTTAAAATTGCTACCTTTAAAAACAGCAGCTAGAAACAGTCTAATGGGGTATATACCAATCAGAAATTTCCCTGTGACCCATTGGTGCAATTATTTACAGCCTGACTAGCAGTGAATCTTGATGCATAATGAAAATTGGAGCCCATAAATACTGTAGGTGAATCAATACCTCAATTGAAGTTCACAGTTGAAAATATAATCAGTACTCTGATACAAGGCAGTAGTGTTTCTTCAAAGAAAGAAAACAGAGGCAGGATCTCTCTAACAAAAAAATAGGGAGGCTTTGGAGCAGCACAGAAAAGGTTCTCAAGTTGGGATGGAAAAATGCCAACACTGAAACCCTTCAAATGTATTAGCTTATCATTTGGATAAGAGTTGGCTGCTGCAGGTCAGACTCTCGCTAAATGAAGGTTTGATTACTTTAATGACATATCGGTTCCTCACATAAAGACCAGAGCTCTCCTCTCTCCCATGCCAGTATTTCTTTTGGAAGATGATGGCAGTTCCTAGCCTTTGATCCTGGATTGCAGCCAAAGAAATGCCCAAATGACTTGGGAGTTTCCCACAGGGCAGCCCATAGACCTGCAAGTCCTCCCCCAACCCCCCAGTAAAATTAAATTGAATGTGATGTTCATTAGTTCACATTCCACGTTAGAGTATTGTGAAATCTGTACTTGGCAATACTCCTTGTATTATTATTGTCTGCAAAGTAAAGGTGAGAGGCACCTTTGAGCATTTGCAGCTGTACAAAAAGCCTGTGGCAGATCAAGAGGAGGAGCTTGGTCTCCCAACCCCTCTGCTAGTGACCCAGTGATTGCAGTGCTCTCTTTCCTGTCACTGTGGGAGTGGTCTGCAAAAACCAGCTGAGCCCAAGTCCCAGAGTACATACTGTTTTTTCTGACAGATCTTCACAGATTCTTCATCCTTAAACTCTTTTACATTTTCTTTTCCAAAAGCATAGAAATGAAAATAAGAGAGGAAGCCTTCCTGTAGAGCAGCTCCCAGTTCTATTTGCGCCTTTTTTTTTACAGTTTTGGGTTAAGCTTTGGCACTTTTTCCTTTTTTCCCTTCATTCCCTGGTAGAGGGGAAAATTACTGAAAAAAGCCTAAACTCTCTTGAATAGTCCATAAAATGTGATTTATGATGGAGCTGTAAATCGGATGTTTAAATGGTTCCCTTCTTGTTTTATTTTCCACAGGTCTTTGCCCTCACCATGTCAAGGAATGTTAATGATGTGTTCCTTCTCCATTGCCTTCCCCACCTGTCATCTTGCTAGGATCTAACTACAGAATGAACATAGCAGCTGTGTTTAATGCCCTGCTCGTGTCTGTCCTCGCTGCTGTGCTGTGGAAATACATCAAACTGCGCGAGCATGCCTCCATGGTGGAAGAGGAGTTGGTCCTCACACGCCAGTCTCAGGAACTTTCTGAGGTTCAGATTGACTACCACGCAGCTCTCCAGGCACTGGTGGAGAACGGTACCAGGATGGTGTGCACTGGCAGGATGCACACTGACCGCATCTGCCGCTTTGAGTCCCTCTGCTACTCTACTGAGGCCGAGGAGTTTGTCTACTTTCACAGCAACTCCTCGGTTATGCTGCCCAACCTGGGCTCACGGAGGTTCCAGCCAGCTCTGCTCGACCTCTCCTCTGTGGAAGATCACAACACCCAGTACTTCAACTTTGTGGAGCTGCCAGCTGCTGCACTGAAATTTATGCCAAAGCCAGTCTTTGTGCCCGATGTGGCGCTGATCGCCAACAGGTTCAACCCAGACAACCTGATGCATGTCTTTCATGATGACCTCCTGCCAATTTATTACACCATGCAGCAGTTCTCTGATTTAGATCTGGAGGCACGGCTCTTCTTCATGGAAGGGTGGAGTGAAGGTGTTCACTTTGACCTCTACAAGTTACTGAGTAACAAGCAGCCGCTCCTCAGGGAGGAGCTTAAAACCCTGGGCAGGCTCCTCTGCTTTACCAAATCGTATGTGGGACTGTCCAAAATCACCACCTGGTACCAGTATGGATTTGTCCAGCCACAAGGGCCAAAGGCTAACATCTTGGTTTCTGGTAATGAGATCAGGCAGTTTACCAAATTCATGATGCAGAAACTGAACATCAGCTTGGAGGAAGGCTCTGGTGAGGAGTACATCGTGGTGTTCAGTCGAACAATCAACAGACTTATCCTAAATGAGGCAGAACTAATCCTGGCTCTTGCTCAGGAGTTTCAGATGAAAACCATTTCTGTCTCTCTGGAGGAGCATTCGTTCTCTGACATCGTCCGGCTGATCAGCAACGCGTCCATGCTGCTCAGCATGCACGGGGCACAGTTAGTCATGTCACTCTTCCTGCCAAGAGGTGCCACAGTGGTGGAGCTCTTTCCATATGCTATCAACCCCGAACACTATACCCCTTACAAAACCCTGGCAACCCTTCCTGGCATGGACCTGCAGTACATTGCCTGGCAGAACACTGACAGGGAAGACACAGTTACCTACCCGGACAGACCTTGGGATCAGGGTGGCATTGCTCATCTGGACAAGGCTGAGCAAGAGCGCATCATTAAGAGCACAGAGGTGCCACGGCACCTCTGCTGCCGCAATCCCGAGTGGCTGTTCCGTGCCTACCAGGACACAAAGGTGAACATCCCATCTCTAATCCACACAATTAGGCAGACTGTGAAGTCTAAGCCTGGACCCAAGAAGCAGAAATGGTCTGGTAGCCTCTACCCTGGCAAAGTGAGGGATGCCAAGTGTCAGGCCTCTGTCCAGGGCACAAGTGAAGCTAAACTTGCTGTGTCCTGGCAGATCCCCTGGAATCTGAGGTATCTCAAGGTCAGAGAAGTGAAATACGAAGTGTGGATACAAGAACAAGGGGAAAACACTTACATGCCTTATATATTGTCCCATCAGAATCACACCTTCTCAGAAAACATTAAGCCCTTCACGATATACCTGGTGTGGATACGCTGCATCTTCAACAAAAATCTCCTGGGACCTTTTGCAAATGTGCTCTTGTGTAGTACATAACCTGCTGCACTACCTGTACAGCTCTAACCTGCTCTCCACTCCATCTGTGGTTTAAAACTTCTCGTCTTGTAGTTTGTAGAGGGCTGAAGAGGACTAGACTGTACCAGTGCCTAAGTGTCTATTTTATTGCACTCCATGTGTATTCTTTAGATGGTATTTATTTCCAGTAAGTGTTTTAAAAAAAAAAAAAAAGAGAAACCTCTGTGTTCTTCAGAGTAACTTCCAGAGGTTAAATTACATGCTGAATACGTGTAATTGAAAACAGAATGGAAGTGAATTGTGTGTACCTTGGTCGTGATTTAAATTTGTTCCTATTGTGTGGTGACTATTTAAGCACAGCATTGAACTGCAGTTAATTCCATGGCTAAGTGGGCAATTCTCATCAGCTTTTTCGTTGTAAGTTATTTTTTTCAAGAACTCTGACTGTAACTTTGAGTTCAAGATTTGGTACTGGAGCCTTCATTAAACTGCTGTAAACCTCCTCGATTTTTTATTTGCATTTTATTATTTGTCAAAGTGTTACTGTGATAGATTTATCCGTTGTTGTGGTAAAATGTGTATATGTGTAGCTTTTTATTTTCCATATTCTGGTTAAAGAGAATGAGACTACAGTGTCGACTTCATGTTTAAAATCAGATTTTACTGCACTCCTATTGCAAAAGGCTGGAGTAGGAGATAGAAGTAGAAGGGGTGGCCTAGATAAAATAATCTGCTGTGTTTTAAGATGTTTTCTTTCTGTGTTGATGTGTTTTAAGGTGTAACTCATTTTGTGAGCTATGTACATGTGTGTGAGAAAGGAAAGGGATGGTTTGGAAGAGATGATGGTGGGAGCGATTGCACTTACAGAAATCCACTCAAGAAAATCATTTTTTTCCTATTTGATTAGAAAAATCTGTTGATAATAGCTACCAACAGGTACATGCTTTGCTAAGGAATAGGCAAATGATGGCAAGGCAAAGCTTTCTGGGCACAGCTGTTCCTGGATGTTGGTGGGAAGAAGCAGAGTCAGGCAGGAAACCGGTAGGTGAATGCCATGGCATTGGGCTGGACAGAGCACGTGGCAGGGATTGGGCTGATGACATTCTCGTCTCTTGCTCCAGTGAGGAGAGTAGTTTATTCTAGACTTAAACACATTTTCCCTGAGATCAGAATCCGGCTTCATTGCTAGGGTAGCACACTGACTGCTTTGGGCCTGATCCTGGACTGCTCCTAGTTGCAAGTACAGGTCTTTGGGAGGGAGAGAGAAAAGAGGCAGGAGTGTGAGATGTTTCCCTGATAGATGTTAGCATCCTCCATCGTTCATCACCAATGTTGAAGCAACAGGAAAAGTGCTTTCTTCTTCTCTCCCTCCTTTCGCACCTTCCTCCCAAGGTCTGGATGGACATTTGAACAGTAGGATAAATGTCTTGTTTTCTGAGTGGTGGGCTGATAGATGAGCATCTCAAGGCAGAATTATAAATATGGGTTCTAGAGGGAGGGGGAGAAAAACATTGCTGTGCAAATCAGACAAGAAACAGGAGGGTTGAAAAATGAGCAAAACACCACAGTACAACATTGGACCTTCAGGCAAGTGCTACTTCTGTATATTCATTTTCATTATGTCTTGCTTTGTTTTCAAATATGTTTATGATTTAAAGAAGGGGAAGAATCAGAATATCAGTCCCAAAGTCTGTGTTTGCTTTGCCATTGTAACCTTGCCAACTAGTAGTTTTTGCCTTGATATTTTAAAGGGGCACATGAATATTCCTGCTGCTGTTTTCTTAGGACAAAATGGGCTTCTTGCTGAAGTGAGTATCCAAGCTGTGCCTCAAAGTCTCCATGTGGCTGCATACTCCATGCTAGTACGTCAGAGCTGAGGTGAGGAAAAACTCCACAACAGATGACAGTGATAGCAAGCTGTTCAGGGACGCCTCTGGGACCTGTGACTCCCCAGGACCTTGCTGGCTGATGAGCTCCCTCTCACGGAAGCGTTTTGCAGCAGTCTTGCATCCCCACATCCATTCAAGCTAAAGGTAGCCCTGTGGCCAGTGGCTGTCCTGCTGGCTGTTGTGAGGGTGGTAATGTTGGCACCCTGTGAAGTCAGTATTGAGTGAGTCTTCAGACAGCTGGAATTTAGTCAGCATTTGGTTTACATCATTTCTCAGAAGTAATTTTCTATGGGGGTGTGACTGCCTGTGTTCTCCTAACCAGTGTTCATCCTGGACAGGATATCAGTCTCATTGTACCTTCCTGCCTGCTTTTCTCCATGTCTTTTGTAGTAATCCTTTGCCTGTAATTTGTAGACCATCCCATTTCACTTAAAATTAGTTCCGTATGATTGCGTATTTTCTAATATTTGCAGATTGGTTACAGCACATTAACTATTTTCTTCTCATATTCTAATGACTCTAATCAACAGAATTGGCTACGGAGCTATGAAGTATCATATATGTGGGTTTCCATGCTCTTAACTCTGGCATGAAACAGTCTCTTGTTTTCAGAGAGAGACTCACTTTTTCCAGAAGATAATCAAATGTGCTTTTCAAAAATGTGCATTCAGGTTCTGTCTTCCTCATCAGTGCTATGAGTGCTTTATGGAGTGGAAGGAAAACGAAAGTATTTTTCCTTTACAAATTCTGAAATAGATGAACACTGAAGTTGTGACAGGGATGTTGCTGTTTTCTTCCAACAGCTGCCCAGTGTAAGAATGTCTGTGCTGGTGCCTTACTGCTGTACCTGAATTCCTCCTCTCCCAGAGCACACAGCACTGAGAGCCTGTGGTCCAGCCTGTAGTTTCATAAATTGGGCACAGTAGTGTAATGCTGATTTATACTACCTCAAGAACTGCTCTGGAGTGCTGGCATCTTTCCATAATGAATTTTCTTTCCTTTTAATAGCTTTACCATCGGTGCTCTGCAGGCCTGTTCCATTTTTCACCCCTGTCCTCCCCTGTCCCATGGGCTGTTTGTTTCTCTTCCTTCACATGAATATCCTCTCACAGTCTCTAACCTTCGCATTTCAAGAAAACCCGCTGGTATTTTCACTGTCAATGCCGCTTAGTGAGTCAGAAGGAATGTTTGCCTGGTATCACTTAAAGTTTTGCCCTGTAATGAATGTGGACTCTCTGTGCACAGGAGTTGAGGCTGCATCTCTTACATGCATAGGAAGGCAGGGCTGGAGCAGAGTTACTTCCCCCGGTGGGTTCGTGGGGCTCCTTTTAATGAGTTGTTTTGTGGAAGCAGCTTGAAACTTCCACCACTCTATCAGCTTGTTTCTGCTCCCAAAGCAATTACATTATGTTCTGTGGTGCTCTTTGCCCCCACTGTCCTGGAAGAAGAGAAATAGCTGAGATTATTTCCAGAACTCTGGGGGTAGTGCATGATGCTGGTCTTGAACTCGCTGTTCTTGGGCTTGTCCATGCTTACGGGAATGGATCATTGAGAAGGATTTCCTCTAGCTGCAGTTTCATGTCTGCTTTTAATTAGACCAAGTGCAAGGAGCAGCCTGTGGCTGCGGTGGGAGGGCTCTTACTGACATACAAGGACAAAGAAGGACCAAATGGAGCACTTACCAGCTCAGACCTGTGAAGTGTTGGAGCAGGAGCTGCAGGTTAATGGTAATACAGTTCCCTATGGGACAGGACCCTTAAAGTGTGACTTCAGTAGAGCCAGAGCAATTCATGTTACTGTTACCTTCCACTGGTTATGGCCCATACTCACCCTCAAAGAATAGAAACATTTCTGAAGAGGCTCAACTCTAGTTTGGCTCAGGTGTGTTTCTCGAGGACGTGCTGCCACCAGGGCTGTGGAAAGGTGAGACTTAACGGATGTGGCTTGTCCTAAACAGCCCAGCCCTTGCTCCACGCAGCAGAAGGCCAGTTGCTCTGGAGGGGTAGCCTGGAAGAGCGGGGAGCAGGATAAAGTAGCACAAATAAGGCTGAAAAGCCACCAAGTCATACTATGTGTAGGACTATCGAGTGGTGGGAGGGACTTGTTCCATGCAGCCTGGCAGGTGGCATTTGGCATGATGACCTGGGGAGCTCACCTCAGAAAATTTCTGTGGCACTTGTTTGCCAGCTTCCCAGGAACCTAACACACAGGGAAATAATGATGAAATCTTGTTTTAATAGTTGATTGAAGATAGCCTGTGTTCTGCCAAGCTACTATCGACATCTTCTGTGTGGATTTTAAACCCTTATTCCAGGCAGGAATTTTCCTCCATGTGATGGAGTGTGGCTTAGAGGTCGGTGTCCCGAGCTCGGTCCCATGGCTGAGTGCAGCATGACAACATCACTAAGCTTTTGGCTAGGGGAGAAACAGTGAGGATGCTGGTTCCCTGAGGATGCTGGTTCCCTGAGAGCAGTGTTTTCACATGGGCGCAACCCAGTTCCTCCTTATCTCCCTCTGCAGACAGCTGGGGCACCTTGATGGCCACCAGCTGATCATCATCTCACCAGCCAGAGGTGAGATGCTCTGGTGCTTATGCAGTGCGCTTAGCCCTTGTCAAGCATGCAGAATCCTAAATGTCATCCAGGAAACCCAATGGCTGCTATAAATTATTACTGGCTATCTTTCACATGGCAAAATGATCGCACTTTTTTTTTTTTGCTGGCCGTATGGATTTCTTAAGCTTTTGGCTTCTTTCTTGTCACCCATTGCTCGTGGGTGGTGGGGGCAGGCAGTGATGGGCTAATTGCATTCCAGATTGGTCACCCAGTGTGGGTTTTACACCTCCAGAAAGTGACTGGAGATAATAAAAATATTTGGTTTTACAGAGTTCAGTTTGAGATTTTTCTGTCCTCTTCTGTTCCCCTTCCCTGATTCTTTTGGACAGATCCTTTTCTTAAGGAAATAATAATTCTGAAGAGCAATAACCTGGAACTTTTAAGAACTACTGTGAAGGGATGGAAAATATGAAGCAAAACCAAATCCTTTGAGAGGCAGTTTAGGAAATATGTTTGCAGATGAAACCAGACCATTTCTTAGAAGATTTTGGTGAGAAATGATGCAAAGTGCCTTTTTCAGGTTCATCATCTCAGTCTTTCACAACTAAATACATTACTCAAGATAAATTTATGACAGTAATATTCTTTAGAGCTGTTTATTAATTTTTTTAAAAATTTTATTCTTTCATTTCAGGCCACCTTTTTGCCCCCATCTCTTAAGGCTTTGCATACCTACCGCTCTGGGATCTGTGAATGTCTTGTCCTGAGACATCAACACCTCACAGGACCCAAATTAAGACACTTAGGAAATAAATAATTTTAAGACCCCTAGGCTGTTGGCATAGATGGCTCCGAGGCAGAGGCACACTTACTGCAGGTGGACTGGCAAGGGCTCTGACCCAAGCCTTTGTTGCTCTCTGAGATCCATGGGTGAAAGGGACTCTAAGTACACCATAATTTTATTTATATTGAACAAAAGGGTGACTTCAGCATCTTTCTTGCT